CGGCAGTGGGAGGGACCGAGCGTGAGGAGCAGCGGCCGACAAGGGGAGGAGGGAGGAGCGCTCGGTTTGAACTGAGCCTCGAAAAGGCGGCGGGGGGAAGGAAGGATGTTTCCCTAAGAGTTTAATTGTTTATATTATCTCTTTCTCAATACACGAGTAACAAATTAAAAAATTAAATAGGTAACAAAGTAAAAATTTCTTGAGTCTAGGCTCTCTTGCCCACGACGAAGGGTGCTCACGAAGTACAGACCCATGCAACGCCCCGTGTAGTGCCGTCATCCAACAGCTTCCACGTCACCTGCCATGAAAACGCCTGCCGATTAACACTGTGCCGTGCCAAATTCAGGCAGAGCTAGGCTGCTTTCCTTGTGTAGAGATCCATAAGCAAGAGGCGCATCTCCCGGTTCACATCCTATGAATTGGAAAGCAGGGCCACCTCCACAGCAGCTCAGGGTTGTTGGCAATCAGGACTGCACAGGAGGAACACCCTTGGCGCCCTGCTGAGGCGAGGTCCTAGCCTAGCACAGCACCTTCAAACCCCCGGTGGGAGCATTAACAGGGAGCAGGTGCAGAGGCAGTTACGCTCAGACAGTCATTATGAGAGCCGGGGACTGGAGGCATGACAGAGGAATCCTGGCTGGGAACCAAGAAATTCCATGTGATCCATAGCCACCTCTTTGCCAAATGCCATAGCCAAAGCAGGAGAGAGTTATGTTTTAACACCCTTGCTCAGAGAGGTCATTGCGGAAAGCCAAACAACTTCAGCGTGCGCTGTGATTTTTAGTGTTCGCTGGTTTTTGTTACACAAACACGTAAATCTCTGAAAACATGACCTCCCGATTCCTTTCTAAAGAACTTCGGGCACACTGCTCTGTACAAGAACATGCCAGCCCATATTTTACTGTGCAGCTTTCTCCTGATTTTCAGGCAGGAAGTGAATGTTTCCTTGTGTGCAGCTGACACTAGGAGCCTTGCTCTCAACTTGTTTCCAACAGCTCAGCCCATTTACATGCCTGAAGTTTGAAAGAAGGTTCTTGATTATTTACTTTTTGATACATATGCTTGATTATATTGTATTATATCTCCCTGTGATATTCTTGTTTTGCTTTTACACTTGCACTGTTTCTCCTGTCAGACATTGTGTAAAGGATTACTCTCTTAGAGTGAGACCTGGAACTAGACCATAGTTTAAGCTAGGCCAAGTACTCCATGAGTAGCTCTCAGCGACAAGCAGGTGTTCCCACACTACGTAGCAAAACCACTTCATTCCTTCTGCATTGAAAATAGGAGCCTCCTAAGTCAACAGCAGACCGCTACAGAGAGGCTATGCTTCTGTCTCCTGTCAGTTGAGGGCATAGGTCTGCCACGTCTCCTATCTTATTTCAAGTTTTTCAGTCCTTCGTGATGGTGCTTTAAAAGCAGCCTAAGGGAGAGAAAATCCTATGCCATCTCACTGCCATTTAAAGGAACTACAGAGGGTTCTTCTATTACATTAGGACACTTCCAGATGCACCCAAGACCTTGGTGGTAACAGCACCCTTTTAATTGCATTCTGCATTCCGTATTGCATGTGCCAGTATGTTGATCTGCATTTTATATAGAGAGGCTTTTAATATTTTTCTGCTTTGACACATTTTGGCAAGTTCCTTTCTGAGATTCTATTCTGTTTATGCACAAATAGTCTGCAGTACAGACAAATACTTCATGATTTTACTTCTAGAGATCTAATGATTCAGTAAATGTTCTTCTTAATCCCATAATTAATGAAGTATTACTGTAGTGTCAGTGTAAAAACCTGTTGAGCCTCCAGATTATTTTCTTGCATGTAAATACTTAGCACTGCAACTAGAATATCTAACATATGTAAGCTACATAATAGCATATATATACACATTTCTGCTATGTTTTGTGTATAAAAAAGAATAACATTTTAAAGTTGTCATACAGGAGTTCAATAATCTGTTTAACCTGATACATGTTTAGTTACTCTAAAAATAAAGGTTACATATATTTATGTACAACAACCTCCTCATTCTTCTTTTATAGCATGGGTAAAGAGAGAATCAATTCATTATTCATGATTTAGAGCAGGTAGAAGCCTATTTAGCCCACTGTAAGTAAATACGTGTCCTGCTGAGTGTGTCCAGAATGAGAAATCCCGTGTTTAATGATTTTTAAAACATCCCCTCTTGCTCTGCTTCTTGGTAAGTGCCAGTGTCAGCCCACTAATAATATTTTGCATTGAACAACAGTCATCTGATAGTTATCTAGATGAAAGATTTGGGTTTGAAGTCTTCAATAGATCTGTGCTGCATAACCTTCCACCCTTGACCGTGACCCTTTGCATTATGTATCCTTTGTATCTGTTAAAGTTAGTCTCAGAAGAGATTAATGGACAGTTTCTCTGTTCTGAATGAAGCATTAGGATGAAAACAGTAGCCCTGCTTCCCTCAAACTGGGAGGTTTACATCATTCTCTCAATTTGTTATACATTAGTCTCACTTATGTCACTTACTCTGTACATAAACACTAAACTAGCACTTACAGGAATATTAAAATAACAGCTTTGCATTTAATGCCACAATTAGCATAACAGTTGTGAATTACGCCAGACTTCATTATCATTCATTCTGTTGAACTACAAGACGACCATATTTCCATTACTGTCTGTAATTGATTTTTCCAAGTCTTCTTACACAGCTTCAAGCAACAATATCAAGAGAGCCACAATCCTCTTGAAACTCGGATTTCAGGTCTGACTGCCGCATTCAGATTTTATCACGGCACTGATGAAAACAATTTAAGAGATGTTGCTAAGGAGGGGAAGTATATGTTGCTGTAATACTTACAAAGTTCCAAACTCTATGTCACTACTGATGAATTCTTCCAACATACTTGTATCCACCATGGGATTCTCCAAGGCTCCATGGACATCTTGCCCTAAAATTAAAAATGTCAAAAAGACAGAAATTATGAGAGTGGAATTTGGAGGGAGTCGTCAGTACTTCAGACTAAGTAACGCTGCCCACTCTCCTACACAAAGGAAAACCAAATCCATCCTGTCTCGTGCGTAACGGGTGGGTTACGCTTCTGGCTTTAGTCACTCTGGGAGAAAGGATGACGGGAAATGCAGAGTAAAAGAGGATGTGCAGGGGAACATGAAGATGACACAGCAGCACCAGGCAAACACCAGTTCATGCACGGCATTAAGGCTTCACTAAACTACCACAGCAAGAGGATGAAGGGCCCAGTCTGCAACTGGAAAAAGGGGTTTTGAAGATAACATCATACTCTTACATTGGGATCAAAACAGGTGATTGGGTCAAAGTTCAGACATTGTCTCACACAGATCCACTTTCTGCACTGGTACTGCAAGTGAGTTTCTGAAACAGCTTAAAAATCCACCATTATGAGCTTAAAGAAAGCAAAAATAAAGCTTTAGAAAAGTTTGATTGGTGGCTTCCTTTTATTTTCCCCCAAAAAACAGCCCACTAACATGTTAAATGTATTAATTAATAGAAAGGTTCAGTACTTTGTCCTTTGTTGCTTGGTAACTGAAGGCTATAAACAGATTTTATGATTATAAAGTCTCCGGAATTCATGACAACTTTTGTAGAAAGTCAACCGAACACTAAAAAAAACAAACAAACAGAACTACTTTGTAGGCTCCCCACATCTGCAGCAAGATTTCCATAAATATGGGTGTGGCCCATCAGAAAGCAAACAAGATAAAGGACCTTGAAATTACTGCTCTCTCCAGCAAGGCACAGGAGCTGTGCGTGGCTCTGTCCCACTGCTACATGAGATAAAACGGACTAGCCTATAAATTCAGAGCTGCATGGCTCAGCCCCGAATGGCTGACACGGACCATCTCGCCTCAGCTCCGCAGCAGAGCTGCACAACAGAACGTAAAAGGTTAACCACTATCATTGAGCACAGGAGCAGTAACTGCCTTTGGTGCTTTTACTGTCTTCTCACTGTACTAGCATCAGACGTGTGCATGGTAAGAAGCTGCATCGTAAAACTACTTCTGGTGTTTTTCCTGATGTCTCTGTCTGACATGGTTCCTTCTTGATCCAGTGTTTAGACATTACTCAACTGCAAGCAGCACCTAAAAATCCACTTCCACTACCTTGCACAAGAATCCCCTTGTGTATCTGTCTTAATACATAAATTTACATTACTAATAAACATCTCCTAAATTGCTTTGTGATCACAGATTAATCTAGGCATCATTTGCTTATCACTACTGCAGCTTAATTTCGGCTGCCTTTCACTGTGAGATAGCAACTTGCAGGTGTGCTACTGATAGATCCTTGCATCCCAACGTACTGGCATTGTATACAAACCTGTCCTCCGCGCATCAGAGAACAGATTCAGTAAGTGCAGCACACTTACTTGCCTCAGCAAAACTGTAACATGGAAAGTCCTGAAGTAGCAGCAAACAAAGTACTTTGCAAAACCAGCTTGAGAGTACAAAAGAACCTGCCTTTCTTCAAAAGCCTTCCTCAAACTTGTTGGATTCTCACCTTTTCATCTTCATGTCCGAATTTAGGATATCCGCCCTCGAATCTCAAACACTTCTCCTTTTGCTAACGTAGTCCACAGGAAACTGAATCAATCACCTTCTCCTCCTTTTACCCACCCGTTCCTCCTGTTCAAATTGCCTGGCCCTCATGCTGAATGATATAATTTTGTTATTAATGTGAGACCAGAGGTCAGATACAAAGTGTTTTTCCTGTACCACAAACCCAACAATTCCTTATTTTGACCAAGGTCAGAGACAAGCTCTTTTGAAGTACAGCTATGAATCAAACAAGGACAGGGCCTTTAGTATGGGCATCCCACAGTACAGAGATTGGCTCTGTTGCTAAGTGATGACAACAGCAATATGTATCATCCCTTCTTAATCTCTCCACTTTGCATAAACAGTTCAATGGGTAGGAGGAGAAGGAAGGAATAAGTAATTCTGTGCAGGGAGAGGAAGGAAGCACACCAAGAAGATAGGCCACCGCTAATGGAAGTTCGCAATACAAGTGCGCAGAAGAGCCAGTACGTTTGGCTGCCCTGTAGAACTTTATTCTTTCTTTCTGAATATACTCTCCAGGTCAGTGGCATCATGTGGTTGCACTGGCATCTGTTTCAGCAGAGGAGGAGCTGTTGGATCATACACAAATTTATTTTAAATGGTGGCTTCCATTTCACAGGCATTTGATCACAGTAAGTACTTAATAGTTACAGGTAGTATGCAAGCTAGTCACTCATCTGGATGTTAGGTGGCTGTGAGAGCAGAGAACTGTGTGTAGGTAGCGGGACAAGCCCTGCCGAGAGGCCCCTGTGAGCACACAGCTTCCCACGCAGAACCACGTGCCTGGCCAAGAGCCGCCGGAGAACATGCGGAGTCAGCAGCCTTTATCAGCTTGCGCTCGGGGATCTCTGCTCCCAGTCCACACTCCACACCACAATGTGCCCAGACGTCTCTGGTAAGAGTCCGCACTGGGTGACACATTCAACTTGAGTGTCACTGCGCAGAGAATTGCCAGCTACCCAAGAAACTGATGAAGATGAAAGGCCAAAACAGTGACTGGGGTTTCATACACAGTTATTTGCAGAACAGAGACTGCAGTCATAGGCAGCATATGACTACATTTTTCCCATTTCTCCATAAGCTTGATATTCTGTTGTTATCTCTCCTTCAATCTGAAGTCTAAAACCTGTCAATTCTACCACTGGCTTCTGTTTCCCTGTCCGTTCTCACCTAGCCTATCCCTATTCCCAGCCCCAAGCCCCCAGGGAGTAGTCCAAACTCCAGCCTCCTAATCTGACAGTTGCTTGCTTCATCTCTCTCTCTCTCTCTCTTTGGCAGACATCTCCTCCTTTCCTCCAGCCATGAGGCTCTCGTCACCCGGCTCCTGAGCTTCACTCTGTACTCTACACTCCTGTAACCATCAGCCTCAATCCCTGAATTACCTGCTTCGATTAATTCTCCCAACGCTTCCATGTAGTGCCTCACATATGGCTGCATTTAAATCAGTTTCCTCCTTTTCAATAGTATCTAAATGCAAAGTGAAGGATGGGGGACAGAGAACCAGAAACTCTTTGCAGTAAGTTTTGTCTTTTACAGCACAGCTATTTCAGAGAAAGTCACACGCTGTTGTGAATTTGGCTTGTGCCACAGCCATCGCTTTCCAAAGGAGTACCCAAATAACCAGGCTACTGGGGTGCTCTTTCTGCAAACATAAATTCAGTCCACAAGCAATAAAATATTCTGTCAAACTTCTAGTATTAACTAAAAATCAATACTAAACTGACCATTTCCTGACATTCAAAGATGCCAGGAGGTTCCCAGCCAAGTGCAGCTATTTGTAGTAAGGTCTGTATTAAAACGTCAGCTATTCTACACAGGCAACAACCCTTAAATAACAGCTTGAGATGTAAAAAATGGCACACAGAACACGGTCGGTAATACCTGCTTGCTGAAAGGACAAATTAATAACATTTGCTACAAAACCTTGCAACTTGAGGGAAATGTTTCTGCTTGAGAGTTTTCTGCTTCAGATTTTCATCTGAAGATACTTTACCACTGACGCCAAACAGGCCTCAACACCTTATGAGCTCCACTATACAGGCTCAGTGACGAGTCCGGTTGAACTTCATGGGCTTACACTAAGGTAAGTCTTACTTAGGGGGCTGACAGTTCGTTAACTCCTCTCATACTAAAGGACTCCGAGTACTGGTCACTACTTAAAACTGTTCAAGATAGTCCAGTTCATTTTGATGGGGACAGGCCTGGAGTCATTTATAAAAGCTGCTGGGCCGGCAGAGCTACAGACATGAACCTCCGGCACTTAGCAGCAACAAACAGGAAAGGGTCAAGGACAAAACAGCTGTAGCTGGCAGAACTGCAGCCAGCCAGGACACACCACACTCTGGGGTTATTCAACAGCAGGAAAACCTGTAACACTCCAGCTGGTAAGGAGTGAGCTTGTGTCAAGATAGATGGCTTTTCCTCAAAGTAACATTTTCCAGAGAAACAAATCTGATTGTCAATATTGTAAATTTCTCATTTCATCTTTTATTCCTGTTTCAGTCTCTCATCCTTAAAATGGTGTGAGACACCTTTGGGTTTTAAGTGTTTTGTGTTTGGCATGTGTGTTCCGTGGCTTAATTTATTTACCAAGAGCCCCAAACTATATTGTGTGTTATCCATGCAGGAGCATGAGAGAGGTGGTGATTCCACCAAGAGTCTTCTTTAGATCACAGAGAGCACTGAGACCGAACACACACATTTCAGACATGTCAATGTACCTTCCAACAACAAAAAAAAAAAGAGAGGACTGAATTTAACCATGTAACTAGGTCAGCCTTCATTCAGGTTCTCAACCCACTGGTAACATCAGCAAGAATAGATTGTTCTGCGACATACAGGCACAAGAGCTAATCAGGAGCTCTGACCTTCCCTTCACAAATAGGAAGTCACTGATTCAAAAATGCGTTTTTTTAAATTAAAATACTAATTTCAACAGAAATCATAGAAAAAACTTGCATCAAAGATGAAATTTCTAGTGTGGGAGTGAAATGAGACAGGGAAAAAAAGACAACTTCACAGAACAGCCACAAGGCAAGAGAAAAGCCATTCACCTGAACGAGAAAAAGCCACGGTCAGATCCAATCAGAGTCATATCTAATCTAAGAGGTCTACTGACTATTGAAAGAAGCTGTTGGCAGGAAAACAAACATCTCATTTTCCTTGGGAAAAAAACCCTGTTTCAGACTGTCCCCTCTCAATATTGCAAATGTGAGTTTATCTTACTGAGTGTCAAAGCAAATATGCACTGTGAGGAACTAAAGCAACAGGGAAAATGGCATCCTTTTTGCTCATGAATTTCAAATAATCTTACAAAACAGATCTATAAATGCGCTTAGCCGCCAGCTGATGCATTTGGAAGCCAAAACTGAACCACTGACAAAGCAGAGAGACTTCCTCGGTGGCGGCATTCTCCACTTGATATTGCAGGACTCAGCTTTTTTTTCCTGTAGCCTTGAAAGACAATGTTCTAGCACTGCTGTGACTAATCTCGGAGGCCATCAAGTCAGAACTAGGAGTTTATTACTCTTGCCTTGTGAGGTGGCATTATAAAGCCAACCCACAAGCCAGAGTGCTAAGCTGGAGAGGCCTTACAGTTAATGTTGGCCTTACATTCAATGAAGCTAACCGCTGCTTGAAAAGAGTGCAAACCCTGCTTTAAATCAGCTTGCTCCCTTTTCAGATTTACCCATGGTTTAACAGCAAGAGGAGCCTAGCTACTACATGCTGAATGAATGATTAGCTCTTGTAGCCTTGACACATATCTAATCTCAGTGTCCAGATAATGAAGTTCAGCCATCTAACAGCATCCCTGTTAGCAGACCTTTGTCATTCTAGCACTACACAGCAGAACCACACATTACTGAAGGAACATAACCTCCCATGATGTTTATTTTTCCTGTATTAAATGGAATTGACAGGGCTTCTTTCCCTCATGCTTGCCCAGACAGATGCTCTACCAAACTACCTTCTAAAAAGAGTTAAATTAGTAATTCTAGAATTACAATTGTAATTCTAGTTAAAGAGCTCATACAGCTAAAATATCCGAGATACCTTCTACCATCAAATTATCGTTGTCACAAAAGCCAACAGAACTTAGCCCCTACTCCCTGGAGTCCTGTTTTCCAGGTCAGTTCCTAAAAAAATTTCTGATTATGAATTTTTTTTAAATAATTCAGGTCCAACACTATTTTGAGTATTTAACAGCTATGCAATGCAGTACTTGAACAAACAGTTTGATAACAACAAACATTATGTTGCTGAAAGCAAAGTCGAGAAAGCTTGTTAGCTTTTTCATGTCGACAACTTGAAAGTGAACTTAAGAAACATAGTATGAATTTCCTAAGATCTATAAACAACAAATTTGCTGACTAGCAGCCCTAGATTGCGGTTCACTTATTTAAGTTTCTTGGCTTAAATACATTTTCTTGATCAGTGCTAGAGAATCTTTAATTTCCTAGTTTGAAATTAAAACTCAAAAGTTAGAGTTGCCACTTCTCGCATAAGCCAACAGTGCCAGAAAAAAAAAAAATCACTTATTTAGCACAATGGAAATTAAATGCAGGGAAACAAAAATTGTCTACGTTATCTAAAACGGAAAAGGCAGTTTTCCAAGTTACTTTGACATCAGTATCACATGACCAATACTTGCACAGGTAATAGAAAGAAAACAAATACAGAAAGAGAAGTTTGGAATTGGAAGATTAACATTGAAAAAGTGCAAAGTGAGAACTGGAGCAAAGGACAGAAAATATTTAGTAAAAAATAAAACAGTAAAAAGTACATAAGCTTTCGAACAGCCATTTTGAATCACATTATAATAGGGCCTGAGAAATGCAGTTTGATTATGGAATCTATTAGAAAGTAAATTTTGCGGTAAGAGAAAAGCAGGAGACTAACAGGACCTGCTTAGATGTAAAATGTCTTGGGGAAAAAGGCAGAAGGACAGATTCCAG